TTTCCTCAAGTGCCACCATCAGTTTGATCAATAAGTTGGTTTTTAACCAACTGCCGAACTAAGAAAATGAACATCGTAAACATCGCAACTGCATAACGTGCATGTTAGCATGGTCTTGTTTTATGCGTAAGATAAAAGCTTTTTGGAAAGAAACGTCTCTTTGTAAGAAGAAAATTGCACCAAACTGCATCACTGGGATAAATCAAAGTAGCCAAAGAAAGAAATCAGTTAATTACTTTAGGTCAGTGTAATTCTATCATTGGCAGATTTAAAAGGCAAACTGCCCAAATTTCATCAAAAAAAGAAACAGAGGGTGTGAAAAAAAGAGAGAGATGACATCCTGCAGCACTGCACATATTCCACTGTGACTGGCTGAATATGAATAATAAATATATCATATGTAAGTGCTTAAGTGCTTGCATAAAATCTGACGAATAGACTATTGAATATCCAATCTAAGTATTTTAAAAGTAAGCACCAGGAGGGCTCCATTACTATTGAATTACCTCAAACTGCTCAGGAATATGTTCTTAATTTGATGAAGTGACACCCGTTTGAATAACATCCCCCACTAATGTTTTGATGACCTTTTAACCTGTATTGGTACGAAATCTATCCGTGTTAATCAGCCCCTTCGTACCTCTTCCCTCTGACTTTCTTTCCCCTTTTTTGTTCCTTTGGGTGAAGAATCTATTATTCGTGCTTTTCCTTCACTCAGGGAGTCACCACTTCAACAAGGTTTGAAGTCTGGAAGTTTAAAAGAAGTGAAGTGGAAATTGAGATGAGGCAACTCTATATGGGTTCACCTTTTCCGGATGAACATTTTATTCTTGGACATGTGTATTGCAGGGATCTGTGCAGGGGTCAAATAAGTGTTAACACAGTAATTCAGTGTATATCCCAAATACACATGACCTGCAGCTATGCAGCTGGTTAACGTGAGAAGTATTGGCATGAGAGAAAGATTTTCTAAAATGATGTTGAACCGATAATGAAGCATAGAGTCCCCTGATGTTGAGCCGAACCTGCAGCAGTTCATTATCGCATGTTGAGAGGCAGAATCTAGTTCTGTAAGAACATAACATGCTTAAAATTGAGCACTTTCCATCTTTCTAACTGTGAGTTAAACTAGAAGTTTCTCAGGTCTTGATATGACAATAATTAAAATACTATGGCTTGAATATTTTGCTTTCAAATCCATGTTATTTGCTAAAGTCAAAACTTGAGACTATTTTTCCTTTCAAGCTGCATTGCGTTCAATCTGACACTTTCCCCTTTCAAACACAAACTCAGTATATTTCACATAGCAATAAATTAAGGACTGGATTATTAACTTAAAATTTTTGAAAACAGTAGGGTTCAGTACGTCAAATATGATTATTACGGGCTGGTCAAAAGGACATACATACTGTAACTATGCTACATGCATTTTTAGCTAACCTCTAATTTTTTCATAAGTATTGTTTTTTTCTTTAGTAATACTGGTTGGTTTTAAGTTGCTTTTGCTGTTCTCTTTCTATAGCCAGGCACAGGGGTAACAACCACTGTTGGAGCAGTTACTAATGAAGCAGTTACTCACATCCTAAAATTGGCATAATTTATGACCATTTTACAGCTGCTTGCTGTTCAAAGTTACATTTCATTTGTGTAAAAATGATGACATGATAGTTAAAACTGAAAAGATCTGGTGGTTTTCTCTCAAATCTCATTTCTCTGCAAAACTGTCCAAGGCTTTAGCTTTATATCTCCTGATCAATTCTGTCTTTTCCTCAAAGGATGAATGAATGTCTGGGCTGGGGTAATCTGTCCTGCCTTCACTCTGCTAAGCCTGTGCTCTGTCTTCTCATGCAGCTGTTATGGATGTCTCCTTCCCTGCAGCTGCAGAGACTCACAGAGGTCTATGGGAGAAACATCCAACAATAACACATTACTTCCTGGTATAGTTTATCAGGGGCCAGACTGCAGTTGGTCTTGAAGTGCTCTTGAGTTTGTTTTTTTTGTTTTTTTTTACATCTTCTTTTGACCACAAATCCCCTTTGATTTAAAACTGTGGACAACTTTTGAAGAAATGGTAAACTTGGAAACTTGGATACAACTTTTAAATATCATCCAAACTACAATTCAACTATAGTTTTATCCAAGTTCTGCTGCCCTCTATTAAAAGCCTGTCACTCAGGATGAAGAGACTGGGATCACCACCACCCTCTCTGCTAAATCTCAAAACAAAAAGCAAACAAACCCAATTTTATTTCTCTTTGCTCTAGAGTTTCTTTTGCATTTGGAGTCTATGTGTGACAGGTGAAAAGCAGATGAAAGGATGGAAATTTCTGTGCTCCTTTCCTTGAGCATAAGTTTTTCAGTCATCCTCTCACTTTCTCTCCTGTCCTATTAATTTTCCTCTGGTGTTGTCTGTCTGCGCTGACAGGCCATAAACCACACAAGAGTAAATTTGGTTCTGTATCCAGTCAGTCCTCAAAGCCCTTAATTGTTTTTCTATGTGATGTATTGCATTTTGATTACACAAAAACAATTAACAACAATAACAACAACAATCAATGTGTGCTGTCTTTCTCTCAAGTGTCATATTTACTGCTAGTTTGTCTTATACCTGTCTAGGAAGAAGTGGCAACATGATGACTTGAGTAGCTTTTTATGGCTGGACCACAATGGTGGTCACAATGTTTTTGTGTGCATGCGGAGTGTGACTTGACGTCACCTCTACTAGCGTTCATTCTTCGCAGACTTTTCTCCCCTCAGAGATTAGTGGTGTAACAATCAATCAAGAGCAGCAATCTGAGTCTCTCACTTCCACTGATGGAATATTGACAAATGATGACATTTGAAATGAATGATGGATACCCCAAAAGGCACCAAATCTATAGACCCACTTGTTAACTGTCCAGCACACTCAGTGTCAAACGCTTTAAGTCAAACATTTTTCAGAAATGGCAAAATATCAGACTGACAGATGGTGATTGGAATCTGATTGGATGTTAGCAGCACAAACGCTTTTCGATGTCAGTGATATTCTGCACAGCAATGTGTATATGAAGATATGTAAAATTATACCAAATAATTAAACCACAAGCATTGACAGTTTTTCACTGTGGTTTTGAGATCTTTTTTTTTTTTTGGCTGACAACTGCTTCCTGCTGCTGGATACAGGGTTAATGAGAGACTGAACCGAACAGTACATTTACGGGCTGTGAGTGGGACTTTAAAGCCTACACATATTGCTAAATGGCTTTCAGTCTGACTGATATATGTGGCCGCCCAAATAACTGTGATCATCTAAATTTCAGATCCTTTCTCATGATGTGTTGTCATCATTTTGTTCACCAATAAATAGTGAAGCACATATATAATGAAAGGGTAAGAGGAGTAAGGATTAACATTGTGCCAACATGTTCAAACATAGCTGACTGTAAAAATGGACCCTATCAACAGCTGTTTAGCGATAGTGTCCTCTGGCATTTAAGGACCATCCCATTCTCTATATCTCTTTCTCATTCCATCCACTGTTCCTACAATTCCTCCTCTAATTTCCCTTCCTCCTCTCCCCTTATTGTCAATGACTGGGGTTTTAATGATTACATCTGGCGGTGCCACAAATTAATTCCTGCCTCTCTGGCAAAAAGCTGTTCCCCACCTGATTATGCAAAGCAGGCCTACATTCTCTCCCTTTGAAGTGGTGGAAAAGCTGCTTAGAGATTCTCCCCTTGAGGAAACACTGCAATAGGAGGAACATCAACAAACCAAGAGTTCACATAAAGGTCAGCAACATGGTTAACCCCAATGAAGACTCACTTCATCTCCACATCTCGCCACTTTTAAGTTGTGTTGATGTTGTGGTGGTGTAATGATGCTCTCATATCAGACACTGGAGCTACTTTTCAGAGACACACAGAAGTGGAGCAAAAGTAGGGCAGCCAATAAAAATAGCTATATAAATGCACCCAATAATGCTTGTGTCTATGGCCGTGCAGAGTAGTTATATGAAACCAGTGCAAGGCTCTTGTAGCTTTCCTATTTCAGCAATCATATCCCTGACAGTGTGTCATGGGCTCACTCTGAATCACCAGCCTTATATATTTGGGAGGAAGAAATAATGGTTTATACACATAACTGCTTCTGCAACAGCATACTTTGTCAGTCTGTTATCGTCAAAATCTAAAAATATATGAATTCTTGCGTGTTATTGTCTATAGTTACTTTCAAAACACTTTCAGCTTCTGGTCTGCGCAATCACCACCTGATGAAAAGCTACATCACTGCGATGAAACAGTCTACTCTTCACTCAAGCATGACACAAGAACCACCCAGGTAATGAGCCACTGTAAGATATGATACTGCCTTCTCAATCACACTGAAGGGAGGTATGATGACAGATGTAAGATTGCTTCTGGTGAGGCTTAAAGCTTGTGTTAATGCGGGGGGGGGGGGGGGGGACAGGCAGATATGAAGAGAGACACAGTTCCTACAGACAGAAACTGTGTGTTAATTATATCATTACTGCTCTCACATTTCATGGTTATTAAACTAATCTCTCAGACAGGAAACCTTTAGCCTCCTGTTGAGTATGTCAAGTCTGAAAGCATTTAATAGTGTTATGGCACTTAGATATTTAAAAAAAACAAACATGGGCCAATAAACATATCAGTCATGGGGTTTCAGATAGAAACTTAAAAGATTCAGTGATGACTTAAGTCAAGTGGTAATCCAAATTTAATGAATGCAAGCTAATTTACTGACTCAAAGCATGCAAGGTGGAGATTCTGAATGTGAGCTTCTGTGGTGCTTCCTCTTATAATCTCATATCTCATTCCTTCACTACCCCTCAAAGAGTATTTAGAAGCTCACACAAACTGAAAGAAGCACTCACTTCTAATAGAATAAACTGTCAATAAATTTTTAATAATACAATCTCACACCGTAGAATATTGCAGTCTTATCGTACCAAATGTATTATACGCTGTGGACACAGTGTGTATGTGAAGCACTTGAGAAACAGTTCAGTCGGTTTCATCTAATTGGACAGCTAATTTAATGAACAATAAATAATGAATACAAATCATAAAACAATGAATAATAAGGTGGTGGGCTGAAGAGTCAAACAGAAAACTTTTTTCGGCTCTTGGTGTCAGCAGAAACAAGTTGTTAAAACAACATTAACGTGTTATCACCTGTTAAGTCGGTATGGAAAACTTGTTACCAAAGTTGCTTATTTTTTTTTACATAGCCTGGAATTTCAAAGCAACGTTATAATTCATTTGGAGTCATGTTTCTGAATACAACTTTTAGCTCTGTTTTCGGTCTCTACCAATTGATAAGGGAACTACCTGGCTGTTTAGCTGCTTAATGCTCCACTTAGAGCTTTTAAACTGAAAACAGCTCCCTGCTGTGGCTGAAAACAACAGTATGAGAGTAAACCAAAACAATAAAGTTGCGGTTGGACAGCCAAACAATGAGCTATAAAGTTCTGTGAGGCCGCGAGGAGGAGCTGCAGATTTGGATAATTCTCTATTAAGTAATCGCTACGACCAACTCCTTTCACACTGTCACATGCCTTAAATAAATATATGTTGCCTGAGGTCTATGTTTGATGCAGATCACTGGAGGTCAGTATGAACAATGTCAGCAATGTTCTATTGTTATTCTGTTTTCTCATGGCGCACACACACACACACACACACACACACACACACACACACACACACACAGACAGCTGCTTTAAACAGCAAAAACCGCAGCTGCAACAAACATTCTTTTGCAGGTGACCAAGTGTTAAAACTGCAACAGTTATGACTTTTCTTTGCCTGCATGTGGCCACACTGAAATGTTTGTATCTGCATGTTTAAACTACTGCTGCTATTACTTTCCTCCTCTATAAGTGGCACAGGTTAAATGTGTATTAGTATGTTTGTCTGTTTCTGTGTGTGAATCAGTTCTAGGAGGCACTTTGCATCTTAAAAACCCCACATCTAACAAAAGGAAATGTTGCTGTTCAGCCATTTGTTTCTACATATTGTTTTTGCTCAGGATACCCACTATTTCCTTCTTCTAATCCGAGACAAAAACATGGGTCCCCAGGTCTTGCCAGGCTGAGGAACCACTAAAATGCCAAGTCTGTGGTGATAAGAGGACACAGCGCCATTCTGTGGCTGCAGGGAGGGCTCCAGAGATGTCTGTCCATGACCAGGCTGAGCAGAAGTAAATGCAAAGTATTTGGATAAAGGAACAGCAATCTCCTCCCACAAGTCTTCAGGTTCAGCCTCAGGACAGTTATTCAGAACTGTCTCAACCACAGCATAGTTTTCAGAGCTGGACAGTGTGCAAGTTGAATAGACCACAAGGCCCCCCGGACGCACAGCTGACAGTGCAGACCTAGAAAGAGTAGACAAAGATTCCACTGTGATTAATTTGCGTTCTTTTCTATTTAATATTTACACTATTCTGTGGACAGCAGAACAGTGCAGGTGAATGTTTCCTAATTCCTCATCTGAACCAAAATAATGTTATATTTCAATTTTGCTTTTACCACTTTCAAACATGAATGGTTATATCACATATCATGTGTAATAACATGATGGACTATAGGAGAATACCACAACTGTAACACATAGCAGACATTTTTAATGTAGGTGATTGGACTCACTGAAGCAGCTGAGCCTGGAGCGCAGGCAGCCTGGCTCTTTCCTTCAGTCTCTGTTCCCCCTGCTGGCTGCTGCAAGAATACAGCCAGCTCCTGTCATTAGAACATGGAGCATCGACTAAAACCTGCAACGGAAAGAAAGACAGACATGTGAGTAGTTCGGAGTCTGAGTCAGAGAGTTCAAAAGTGTAATGGCTGTGAGACACAGAAAGGGTCACAAAAGAAAAGTGAAATCGAAGGAGTAAGAAAATTGAAATAGATAATGAAGTTAAAAGCAGATGAAAAGACAAATGCTGCAGGTCTGGAAAATAATCCAAATTCAGGTTATATTTTCCCCACAGCACCTGAATCATCAAGGGACAAATTATGCTCAGTCAGAGTGAAAAAAGACTCTTCAACAAATGTGTCCTATTACTCAGTGTAGAAAATCTCAACTGCCTCTGAAACTATACACCTCGGCTAAAGAATCTTCCCAAAAATCTGTCCTCTGTTTTACAAAATCATATCATTGACACAACACAGCTTGAAACTGTGCACTGTATTTCTACTATTCTAGTGCATTTCCGGCTTTGTTCAAACTGTGTCTTACTCTCAAGTAGTGTTCCATTATCAGTCTCTTTGAGTCCTTTGATTCCTCCCAGCCTTTTTTCTGCTTCTTCGTGGCTTCTATTTTGACTAAACGCTGCTGGATTTCTGCATTCAATCACAATCTGCCATGAACATAACACAAATTCTTTGCCCACCTTATCATATGTTACTGCTTCACTCTGCCCAAAACATCGTCCATCCTGTGCAGACACTATCACTCTGCTGTTAAGTGAGTGAGGCAGAAAAGATTCCAGAGTTTTGGTCAGCCAGTCCCGTCTGTGAAGATCTGGTTCATTGCAGCAGAGAAGCGCTGGAACACAACAGACAGCAGCATTACTTATTACCAAATAGGCTATTCACACCAGACAAAAATATTCTCTCGAATCAACAGCAGCAATTTATATGCAAAGTATGCTTTTAATATTTAAAAACAAACCTCAACACATTTCAACAAGATGTTTTTGTGAAAAACTCTAACGGCCAAACACATGGCATGGCTGTCAGCATCCATCTGCTAAAACACGGAGTTATGATTTGGGGTCATTTCCGCCTAATTACAATTTAACCATTATTATTTATTAAATACATGGGTTGATAAATGAACTTTAAGATCAAGCATTATAAAATACCAAATGCCAATATTTACTATTTTATTTTAAGGATATAAATCCTTAAAAACACTTGTGTTACCTGGGGTTGCACACTGCAGTATGGCTAAGGCTTTGCCCCCAGGGGCAGAGCAAAGATCCAAAACCTTCTCCCCATTTCTGACTTGCAAAGCCAACACTGGAAGCAGGGAGGCAGCATTCAGGAGGTAGTACTGCTTCAGCTGACCAGGCCTATGAGCCTGAGAAGGAAATCGGAGTGGATATGGGTGGATATAACACTGTAGTGAAGGACGGGGCAAGCTGAGTAACGGCTCTGACTGAAGGTTCTGACTGAGCGAATGAGAGGTGCTGTCAGGTTGGGGATGGGAGTCATCAGGAGGCCACTTGGAGATGAAGTGAGAGTCTTTTCCTGTCTGGTATTCAGAATTTGACGCTGGTGAGGGAGAATCGGAAAGCAACGTGGAGACATCTGTTTGAGGCAGCAACCTGGAAAAGCCCTGTGACTGGAGAATCTGTGTGACATCTGTCACAGCTGTGAAGCGGTTAAGCATGACCCCATATTGCCAGGAGTGAGGGTTCAGGAGAACTGATCTGCAAGAGAAAGGAAATCCCAATGAAAGAAGAGTAAAAACGCTGTCTTTGTATAATCTGCAATAATTATTTTAGACAAAATCTACCTTGCAGACGCCCATAACTTTCCAAGTTCCTGACTGTACTGCTGGTCAAAAAGGTCCAGTACCGGTCGACATGAAGATCTTTCTTTTTTCTGCCTTTTGGTTACCTGTTACAAACAGGTTGTACGGAAGATGCTTTAAAAAAAAAGGTACAGTAAATCCTAAACAGGCACGAAATTACCTTTAAAGAGCCCACTGTAGAGAGCTGCATAACTGACATTATATGAAACTGTTACAGCACTAAGATTGGTGGATACATTTTCCGATTCAGAACATTGAGCCTTACATTCATGTAAAATGTATTTATTTTTACCCACCAAAAGCACTGAAAGAACAAGATGTCCATTGTACTTAAAGTGGATTTTCCTTTTAAGTTTGTAGATTTCAGTTGAAAAACTGCTGTCCTGTCTTGTCGTGCATTGCTACCCATTTGACAGTGAGTGTAAAATCTGTCCTGTTAGGAACTAAATGTATATCCGACCTCAATAAACTATACAAAATTACCAAGATAATAAATGTCCTCAAAAATGACGTATTGTAGCTGGGCCAAACTTGGCTATAATTATCATATACTACGGTATCACCGGCATAGTTTACATAACTCATCTTTACACTTGTTGAGCACTTTAGTAGGAACCCCTGTGCACCTGCTTATTCATGCAGTTATCTAATCAGCCAAATATGTGACAGCAGAGAAATCTATAAAATCATGGAGATACAGGTCAGGAGCTTCAGTTACTGCTCATCAAACATCAGAATAGGAAAAAGAAAGTGATCTCAGTGGCTTTGACCGTGGCATGATTGTTGGTGCCAGATGGTTTGAGTATTTCTGAAACTCCTGTTCTCCTGGAATTTTCATGCACAACAATCTCTAGAGTTTTTACTCAGAATTGTGCAAAAAACAGAAAACATCCAGAGAGCAGCAGTTCTGTGAACGGAAAAGCCTTGTTGATGAGAGAGGTCAGAGGAGAATAGTCAGACAGGTTGGAGCTGAGAGAAAGGCTACAGTAACTCAGACAACCACTCTGTAACTGTGATGAGCAGAAGAGCTTCTCAGATTGCACAACACGTTGCACCTTGTGTTGGATGGGCTACAAAAGGAGAAGACCATGTCGGGTTTCAGTCCTGTCAGCAAAGAACAGAAATCTCAGGTTGAAGAGTGGAAAAACATGGCCTGGTCTGATAAATCTGTATTTCTGCTGAGGCAGCAGATGGTTGGGTCAGAATTTGGCCTCAACAGCATGAATCCACAGACACAACCTGCATTGTGTCAACAGTCCAGGCTGGTGGTGGGGGTGTTGTGGTGTGGGGAATGTTTTTTTGGCACACTTTGAGCCCCTTAATGCTAATTAATTGTGTTGAATGACACGGACTGTCTGTCTGTTTTTGCTGACAACATGCTTTCCTTTATGGCCACAATTTATCCAGCTTCTAATGGCTACTTCCAACGTGATAAGGCACCATGTCACTAAGTAAGTCATCTCAAAGCGGTTTCATGAACATGAAGTGAGTTCAGTGAACTTCAGTGGCCTCCCCAGTCACCAGATCTGAATCCAGTAGAACACCTTTGGGATGTGGTACAAGATTGGCACCGTGAATATGTTGCTGACAAATCTGTAGAAATGATGTGTTGCAATCATGTCAACATGGACCAGAATCTCAAAGGCATATTTCCAACTTCATGTGGAATCCATGCCACAAACTGAGGCTGTTTTGAGAGTAAGGGGACGCAGTATTAGTGTGGTGTTTCTAATAAAGTGATCGGTGAGTGTATATTTTTTTCTTTATCAGTTCAGTGAATGCAAAAAATTCTTAACAGCATATCTTCCCCTAAAGTTACCCATACTGCACCATCTAGTGGTCAAATAAGTGAGCTGCATGCATTTCAGTAACTATTGGGGTTTTATAAAGTTAAGTAAAATGTAAGTCAGACTGTTGCGACTTCACTTCTGCTCAGAGAGCAATAATAAGCTGCTGTACCAGAGAGGGTCAGTAAGCTACATGTAAAGAGCTATTGCAGAAGTTGGCTGATAAAACCTACCTACTGCAAAACTAGCAAAGGAGATAATATAATTACAAACAAATAACCAAAAGGCAACCCCTGCTTTGTTTACCTGGTTAATACGGACTCCTTTTTGCTCGTCCGGCTCTAAAACAACGTCCGGAGCCGTGTGACGGTGACACGGCCACAACCACCACAGAGTTGTCGGCGTTAGCTTCTCAGTTTTAAGGCATATTATCCTCCACGCACCGAAGAACCGAGGTACTGAAGACATTTATTTAGACGTTCGGTTCTCTGTTTCTTCGGCAGACCTTACATGCCAGAATATATTTTAATTATCGTTAAATCACGTTCACGAAATATGGGTAAACGCTAAACACTTACAAGTACGTCCCGCAAATCCGTCCTCCCGCACCTTCAACCAATGATTAGTTCCGGTTCGAGCTATTTGTTTTAGAAAATATTTCAGCTTAGTATGTTATTTCTCTGTTATCTCCCGATTAGTTCACATAGCATGTCAGCGTAAATCTTGGGAAGCAAAATGTTATTTTTTTACCTGTTATTTCCGGATGAGCCTTCTATGGGGCTCCAGAGAAAAGATTTGTTGTCAGGAGCTCAGTTGACCCCTACTAGTTTACTTGACCTATTCCCACACGCCGTCAACCTGAGATTTCCAGATGGCGTTATCACGTTTCTCTGCGTCGCAACCGTCTATCTTCTTTACCAGATAACATTTTGGACAAGTTGCCCGGTGAAATGGACAGTCGTCATAGTCAGAAGAAAAGAGAGGTGAAGCAGAGAGGGAGAGCATAAAAAGTAGGAAGGCCATCGCCATAGACCTAGCTTAATGCTGCAAAATAAGCTACATGTTTGGCGGGAAGGGACCAGGTCAGTCAAAAACACATTTTGAAATGCTTTATGTTGAATATAAAGATAATAATTTGAGCATTCGAGCTAACTCTGTATCTCATTAGTTTTTATTATTATTATTATTTAAGTGTTGGCTAATTATTTTGTATCTAGCCTTGTACATTTGTATGGGGCATTTTCCCAGTTGCAGTCTGGTACCTGTTACATCAATAATTTGGGATAGTCCAAAAAATGGGCAGTCTGGTAGTTTGTGTGAACAGCTTAACATGGGATGGAGTCAAAATGTCCGGCCTGAATTATTGTTTCATTATTTCTCCAGTTAACCAGTAACCAACCACTTCTCTAAACCAACAACAACAAATTTGGTAAGTGATTGTTTTACGTTGTAAACTTTAGGGTTTTTACTGTTGTTCTGACAAAACAAAACATTTGAATATGTTCACTCAGGCTTCAGGGACTAATGAGTATACAATGAACAATCAATTATTAAAGAAAATAACTTTGAAAATAATTGTAGTGATTATGATAATAACTGTTGGTTGCAGCTTTACAGTTTTCCCATGATGGACTACCTTGCCAGAGGTTTTTGTTTGACAAAAAGAAATTAAAGCCCTTTGATTAAAAACAACTTTACAACAAATGACCACAATACAAACTAAAATCAAAGTCTTAAACTAGGTTTTGATACAGAGGCCACCAGATGGAGGACTGGTGATTAGTCAAATCATGAAGACCCAAATAATATGGAGTGAACCTGGAACTTATGGGGCCCTTTGGCAGTTTCCTGCTTTACGCGGTTGGTAAACCAACCTTCTTTGTTCAGCATTTTTGTGATCCTATAGATGTCTACACTCTGCCCAGAATGATAAAATGTTTGGGTGAAAAGCATCTGAATTCAGTGTATTTTCCCCAAACTGTGCTGCTACACACTTTGTTTTCCCTGGCTGTACATTGGAAATATTTGGTTTAAACATTGGTTTTGCCTCAGACAAACAATTTATCATTCAGAACAGATGGTGGACAGCTGTGGGATCACAAAAATACAAACTAAAGATACAAGCTGCTGCTCAATAACAGCAAAATTAATCTTTTGACTCATTTTCCCCTGTCAGCTTTATGTAACATACTGAAGGGCTGAAGTCATAAAAGTGGCCAACTAATTATTTAACCAGAACTTTGAAGATTAGGTAATTTTTTTCCCTACATGAGCCTACTATTGCAGACAGAAAATGAAATCCGTCTAACTGTCACAGGTGAGTTTTTAAACTTAATGAGCTGTATGTAGAATTTTATGTGGGACTGTTGTCTTTGCCAGGTCACAGCCAGGAAACCATTAGACTTGGAGGTTTCTCTATTTGTGCACAGTGCCTGTCTGAATCTATATCAACATACACAAATAACCCAAACATTCACTACAAATGTACACGCACAATTGAGGAATAGATGTTTTACTTCTGTTATTGGTTGCATGTTTGTTAACAAAAACATTTGATTAAATATACAACATATTGACAAAACCATCATTTAAAATGACTTGGGTTTGCCAGAGTTTCATACATCAGTGTGTTCACACTAATGCACAATAATAACCAACACGCTAGACTGAGATCATAGTACCATTTAAGGACATTTCAAACTACTAATTCTCATTAACGTTGATGATGCGTTTCCCTTTACAGTGAATGCCAAACTGGCTTACATGGCGAACAGAATGAGGAACGCAACCATCAGACAGAAGAGACCCATAGCTTCAGACAAAGCAAAGCCCAAGATGGCGTATGAGAACAGCTGCTGCTTCAGCGAGGGGTTCCTGTTGAGAAAGAAAGAGGCAGCTGAGACAAGTTGGAGGTACAAAATGAGAAAAAACTATAAGTGCTATGACATTTTAGTGAGCAGATAATCCCAGCATCCTCCAAGGTTCCCCACAAAAGACTTAACTTGTGACTAAATAATTCTATTTTATCTCTTGGCCAGATAACATACAAATTTAATCAAATATGCCTCCGTTAGTTATATAGATATTGCTAAAAACAATCATCTAATAGCAGAAATCTGGCCAGATCTGAGCCGCCAAAATCTAAATAATTGATCTTTGGCCAAAACACTATCAATTAAATCATACGATTTTATGATGTTGTGGCTTGGACAGACAAATAAGCTGGGAAACATGACTGAAAAAATTCCCTTCTTGTTGGAGATTTTAAAAATATCCTAAAATAACATATGATGCATTTAATTTACCTTGCATATCCGATAATAAGGCTACCGAATACGGTTCCGATTCCGGCTCCAGATCCAGCCACGCCCACAGTGGCAGCTCCTGCTCCAATGAATTTAGCAGCAGTGTCGATGTCACGGCTCACGGCACTGGTCTGGAAGCCCCGCACCGCCAGCTGCTGCTGCTGGGAGGCTGCAATACTCTGTGGTGCCAGGAGTGAAGCAGTCTGAAAAACAAAAAATAAATGAGATTAGCAAAAAGAAAAGCAGTAGAGAATCACAAAGCTGCACTTCATATTTTTCTATGTTATGTATAGAGAGGTTTAGTTCATGCCAGAGCCATACTTTGACCCCTGAATCTGTCTCCACTACATACTTGATTATGGTTCTATAAAAACTCAATTGCGCATTAGTGCAGCTTTAGAAATGTGAAGGAAACTTCACATACTGATACAGAATTTGGATTGTATTTATTATAACAGTAGCAACTTATGTGCAGCTAATGTGTGCCACATAGACGATGAAGCTCAATTTAACTGTCATCTGCTAGCTATTACTAACATTCAACAGTACTTCTCAATAGGAAACGTTTAATGTAAGGTATGATAGATTTAGCTTCTAATCCTATTTTGTCACCTCACCAGTCTGTTTTTGTTTTAATGGTAAAATTTAGTCAGTTTGTTGGCTAGCTACATTAAATAATTTTATCATATGCAGCTTTGGATCTTTAAGTACTGTATTACGGTAGTTATGGGTAAGATAAAAAGAAAAAATGACTGGAGTTGTGATAGCTTCAGAGTGCCCCTCCTCTGTCATCACTCAGTGTCAATTAATCAGGTGTACTTCCTAGTACAGACAGTTGCTCACCTCTGCTTTCCTGGCATCTGACACTACTGCTGCCGAGAGTGGTCTGTACAGTGCCCGAGATCCAGCACGGACCTGCAATACAAAACAAGACATAACACATTTAGTTTAGACAGTTGTGCTGTGATAAGGTGATTTACTGGCATGTTACACTGACAACAACAATATATTATTGTTAATGTATATATTAATTAATTATTTTACTCCACTACACTTACCTGTAGTTTCAGTTACTTTACATGGTCAGATGTTTGCATACAATAACATGAAGGGAAAATGAATGACAAGTGTTTCATGGTTTCAACTTCTCAAATGTGGCAATTTTCTCCTTCCACTTTTAATTATTTGAATTTATTTTTAATACGTTTAACAAACTGAAACAACGTGAAGGTGTCACTTTGAGCTCAGGGTAGTTTTGATGGGTATTTCTCAACATTTTCAAACAAAACAACCAATTGATTAATCGAAAAAATAATCAGCAGATTAATTCATAATGACTTCATTTTTCAAATGTTTCTCAGTAAGAATTTAATTTAGATTCATATAAGTTTCGAAAGGTGTGTATAATGGATAGATTTAGGTTTCCCCTGATAACGTTCACCACTATAGGACGTCCTTGCAGGTGGGAACACCAGCTGACTTTGGCAGAGGGTCAAAGAGGCTACACAGCTAATGCCAGTGTTAGCAAGCTACATTATAACAGTGGCTTATTGCAAACTATCGAGGCGCGGTTAAGCACACGAATTTGTCATATCCATCCATTCACGCAAACTCACCAGAGAGGGCGTGGAGACGAATTTAGCACAGGCATACATCACGATAGGACGAATTGGTCAGGTCAACCGCAGGAGCTGGCGTTGATTCAGCGTCTGCAGAAAGCAATACATGCAACACAACAATGAGGTGAGGTGAATGAACCTGCAACTTGTTTGCTTGATGAGAAAGTACAATGTTAAGTGGACACACACACTCACAGATATAAGGTCAACTTTAGCTGCAACCCGAGCAATGACGCTAAAAACTAACGATCTGACAATCCAGAGAACAAACCAGTGCTGTGGTCACGACTACAGCCACTAAGACACCGAGCTACACAGGGTATCACGGTCATAGGCAACGTATATTTAACTCAATCACAGTTAGTGACAGGAGAGGTCTGTTCTTACCGTGTAGTTGTAGAGGTCGAAGACGTGAGAGGGCTGCGCATGCGCAATGACACATTTAAAGGGTTGATTTCCGGTTTCCTGGAGTGGGAGCGTGGATGTAATAGGCTACTTATATGAGTGGGAGCTACTGTCTAGTCCAGAGAGATCATCATGCCAGCACAATTTGTTTAAATGCCTCTAAATTAAAGTCCACAGTGCATTAACTTTACATTAACTTTTACTTTGACTGGGTCCAATTCTGGCGCTTTCTGCAAAGGGAACATATTCCTCACATCCAGATTAGAAGGTATTTATTATTTACTGCCCCCTAGTGGCAATCTGAACAAATGGAAAAAATGTGCAGTTGTATGCAGTTTGGTCTCCCCTGGCAAATTATTTATTTCGTTGATTTATACTAACCCAGCAAATAGACCCTTTAAAAAATGAGCCCTTCCTCAGTGCAATTAAAGACCAGAGAAAAATCAGAAAAAACAGTAATTGTGGCAAGTGAAAAAGTTACCATTTAGTAATCTGATCCTTTGACAGACATCACAGCTTGTAAACACTTTCTGTAGCCAGCTAAGAAACTTCCTGGTTTTGATTTAGGACTTTTAACCTAATCATTTCAAATTCTGAGATATTTGAGATATGTTTGGCTGTCTTGCTGTACACACAGCAATTAATATCAAATTCGGATTATTTAACTAAATATGAATATAAACTTCTAATACAGTTAGCCTACTGCTAGGAAATCAAAAGATGTTTGTCATAAGTCTAACATGTATAATTTTTACAAAAGTTTTTATACAAGCTGTTACCTCAAATACCTCCTCATATTTGCTATTTTACGCAAGAGATACAGATCTGAATCAATATGTGGACCCAAGGAAGAACAATATGTGGAACGAATGTGGAATGAATTCAAGTTGGTCCAAGAAAGAATACAGCATAAATTCCTTATCTTAAAAGACTAAGAAATCTTTTAAAATTGAATTTACACTTGATCCAGATTTGCACCAAGAGCTAGAGTGAGAGGAACAGTAAATGAACTCTGTGATGTTTGGGAGGAGAAAAAAGTTAAATCTGAGCCGAGCTGAGACAGAAATTGACTGTGGTATAGATTTAAATAAAATAAAAAAATGCTAACATTAAGAGCATTAATACATATCACGATTATTTGTTTGTTTATTATTTTATTGTTTATTTATTCACATTTTGCTCAAGGGACAAAGCAGAAAATACATTATGATGCTCACACATACACCAAGGCAAAGTCAAAAGATTCAAGTAACAACTAAAGTCACAAGGGGGCAGCAACACACCATGCACAGTCTATGATATACACTGGAAAAATAAATTCAGCCTTTGGAGCACATCTTACTGAGTGTTGTAGACCACATTGTGTACCAGACACTATATGTAAAATATACTGGATACAGGATTAAACATAAAAACACATGCTGAAGCAAAGCAGAGAAAGCTGACCTGAAGTCATGAGCTTCATGAAGTCAGTATAACAAGATTTCCCTCTCTTAATGAGTTATATAGACTAGATTAAATTGAGAGCATTTTTGTATTATTCAGCTATGGCATGGATCAGTAAAATCACACATGGTATAGGTCAGGCCTGTCATCTCAGAAGGATTACAACTGCAAATATAATGAATTAGGTCTATAGTTTTATGTCTTCAGCAATGCCTTCATTTTTCAGACAGCAAGGTGGTGGGTGGAAAGCTAGGGGTGAATGATAAATGAATCTCACTGTGTGTAGAATTCTTATGTGTTTGTAATATTTTCACTGCCAGATTGAAATATGAGTTTTTTTGCATATATGCATCAGTAACATAGCCTATAGGCCTATATTTCATTTGTGCATTTAAAATATGAGCACCTCCCTCACATTAAAATGAAATCCCCATGATATTGTGTAGAAGTGTAGCAGTGAACTCCATCTGACAGTGACCATGAAGCTCAAAATTGATAATCAATTTAAGCAAAGACAAGCGATCATATTTCCATAAAAGCATTCATCTGGTCTACCCTCTGCATTGCGCCCTAACATGCCTCACCTTCACATCTTGCATCACGAGGATATCCTTCCATCATCCCTAAATGTATCTCCTAAACGAATGTTAAATATTTATATCACTCTAGCTTTAAGTGGGCTTCCCCTCTTCAAGGATTCATCCCTGTCCGCCCCCTCAGAAGTAAGCTCCATTTGGCGATGCGGAAGGGAGATTCCTCTGCTCTTCCAGTCATGCACCCCCTCCCCTGTATGATGTTACCGTTACGCACCACTATAATAAGCGGAGACGTGACTCTCTGGGGCGAATCCCTGCCGACGTCACTCCCGGTCCTGTATAAATAGGTTGAGCAGCGACTCTGATCAGACTCAAGCAAAACCGCTATTTCGGCTACAACAACTCTTCAAACCGAGGATTATTGGATTGCCTTCGTTGGATTTAATTGCCAGCACCGGGTAAGTGTCTTTAGTGCTCATGAGGCATTTTAAGCTTTATTCGTTTTATTTTAGGCTAGTAGAGTTGAGTAAACATGTGGTCAGGTCAGGTCAACATTTCAGATGAAAATAATTTGATGTGATATGTGCTTAAATGTAGGCTACAGTGGCTTTAACCCCCACTGACATTTTCACTTCATTTAAATGCGATTAAACGTAAAATCACACATTTACGCATGGAACATCTGTCCACAGATCCTCGGTTAAAGCACAATGACTTTGAACAAGGGTGACAAATTGCGGAACATGGACAAGAGGAGAGGAAGCATGCCGTTCCCCATGAATCTCCCCAACCTACACCGGAGAAGCATGCCCGTGGACGATCGGGATCTTCGCGCCACGATGCCACAGACCGGACAAACCGACGAGCTGTCCAACCTCCTGCGCTGCACGTCCTACTCCCCGAGTGAGCAGCACCGGGGCAGCTGCGCCTCAGACTCCTCCGACTCCGTGATCTCCACCAGCAGCGAAGCGGAATCCCAGGTGTACAAGGTGGTTCTCCTCGGGGAGCACGGCGTCGGCAAGTCCAGCCTCGCGCGCGTCTTTGGAGGAGTTGAGGATGCTGGTCACGACTACGATGAAGCAGGTAAATGTTGATACTGAGGATGAGTCATCCACCCTTGCAAACCACACACACACTCATAGACAGATGCGCTTAAGATGTCCATTAACTATGAAGACATGCTATGTGATGATTAGTCCTGTTCATGATCAATTTAGTTTACATAATAATATACCTTATACTTTTATAACTAATAACTTGGAGATAGAAGGTTTAATGAATGCAGTTCTGAGATATGAAGCATGAAAACCTTGGAGACCACTTTTGAAATGATCTAACCCTAAACCTTTACAATAAACAGCACCACTCATGCATGAAAACACATTTCAGAAATAGATGTGATTTTTTTTTAAAATTACATAAAAGTCACACGAAGCCTTATAACCTCTCTAATTCGGAATAATTTTGATCTGTAAGGCTGGTGATAAAGTTTCACTGATGGATCAGAAAAAAAACAGGGTTCTTATTTTTGCACGCAAGAGTGTACATGCATTGATTATTGCTATTTCCATCTACAACGAGGCACCAGTCCTGCCCTCAGTACTACAGCTGTCAGAAACAGATCCAGTAGCATAATACAAAAGGAAAATATAAAAGGCCAATGATGGCTTGATCATAGGCTGTGATCAACTTTCTGCTTCAGAGTGTAGACTACAAAGGGAAAAAAATGTGCTACATCAGTGTGAAGAAAAGCAACAGCACACACTGCCAACAACCACGACTGTTCAGTTAAGAGATGCCTCTCTCCTCTCCGTCAGTGTGTAACATTATATTAATTTTTCCTCCCTCAGGAAACACTTATGACAGATCCATTGTGGTGGATGAAGAGGAGGCATCCATTGTGTTGTATGACATCTGGGAACAGGTGAGTTATATTTTATTTAGGCAATGTTTGTCCACTTGCATTGATTCATGGATATTACATTAGTAAAAGATGGGATCAGCTAAACTCACTATCTTTTTTCTTTCTTGAAGGATAACAGCCAGTGGCTGAAGGAACAGTGTATGAGGATGGGAGATGCCTACATCATTGTTTATTCGGTGACAGACAAATCGAGCTTTGAGAAGGCGTCAGAGCTGCGTATTCAGCTGCGCCGGGCAAGACAGTCAGAGAACATTCCCATAATCCTTGTGGGCAACAAGAGTGACCTGGTGCGGTCCAGAGAAGTGTCTGTAGATGGTAAGTCAGTATAACTAACTTACTATTGAGCCTAAAATGTGCAACAGTAGTGTGATGTATTAAGCCAATAGAAATTTTTAAGTCAGGGGAAGTGGATTTTATTTGCTTTAAAAACTCTTATATTTATCATTTGAAGAATAAAAGCTTATCTTGAGGCTGTTCATGATCAAATCTAACAGAGCTGGTTCGGCTTGACCGGCTTTGCTGGCGTCAGGCCGCATTTCTCACTTGACTGCTCAGGTTCAGCCCATGCTGACATTCAAGTACCACACCAAATTAAGGCCAAAGTTTTAATACTAGGTTCTCTTAGGGCTAATATATCATCTCAAGGCTTATCTAGAGCATAAATTATCAGTTTGTAACCTAAATTTACTTGAGCTTCTACCTTAATGTAAATGCACACCTCCTCAGAGCTCTTATTTTCCTCTCCATATTTTCTGTATCGCAGAGGGAAGTGCCTGTGCAGTGGTGTTCGACTGCAAGTTCATTGAGACGTCCGCATCCCTTCACCACAATGTGCAGGACCTGTTCGAGGGCATTGTCAGACAGATCCGCTTGAGGAAAGACAGCAAGGAGGAGAATGCACGACGCATGGCCAACTGCAGGCGTAGAGAGAGCATCGGCAAGAAGGCCAAACGTTTTCTTGGCCGCATGGTAGCACGCAAGAACAAGAAGATGGCTTTCAGGCAGAAGTCAAAGTCCTGCCACGACCTTACAGTTCTCTGAGAAACAGAGGGGACAGATGGACATTTTTTTCTTTGGCCTCTGAAGACCAGACGCTGTGTGTGTTTTAACACTAACCCTAAAGGACTAATAGAGCTGTATAG